ATATATATATATATATATATATATATATATATATATATATATATATGTGTGTGTGTGTAACTAAATATAGAGTATAATCGTATATTGTTTTGAGTGTAACGTCCAAAAAATAAAAAATAAAAATAGATCTTGATGTCTCCTGAAATTGATTTGTCAGCAGTATCACAAACCGTTTTTAGTTTCTAATCATTAATCAATTAATCGCATTAATCAATTCTGAATAACCAACGTTAATTTTGAAACGTCAATTTCTGCTTTAGGGTTTTATTTTATGCATTTAAAGCTGTCGATTAGTGAAAAACAACTTTGATTTACATTTTAAAGCCTGCAAGTTGAACAATTTCCTTGAAATATGGGATAAAATATTTATGGTCATCTTCGACTTATATATGCTAATATTTTGTTTCTATAACAGATTTGGCTTACTTAGGTGAATAAAGAGCGAAATGATATTGCTAATTAATTTTGGCATGGCATGTGTGTTGAAAGAATCTCAATCTGTGTGTGTGATGCTGAAATCGCACGATAAAGGGACTTCGTTTTGTTTGAAAACGCAAACTTCAGTTACAGTTAAAATAGTGAAAAATACAAAAGTATAAATGGATCTAATTTGCAATTAAATCACTCATGCTATCTTCATGAAACGCACGAATGAAGTAATCTAACGTAAGCCGAGGGTAGATTATTCACTCTACTGCGCAGAGAGAATCTAGCAGGAAGGAAAACGAGATAAACCTATATTATTCTTGCCAGGCCGTAATTAAGTGTGAAACTTACGACGACTCCCGGTCAGTCAACCCGTTGCAAAAAGTAATGAAAGTCGCGGATGAATGTGCAATCTACTGACCTAAATCGCGAGCTGTAAAGTAGCAACAACACAGTAGACAGAATTATCTTGCGTAATAGCTCGACGAATCGAATAGGCGAAGTAAAGCAATAATGGCCTGGTTTATACTTGATACGCGTACTAAATAACTTTCTATTAAATAATCTTAATATCGACGATGTATATAAACAACGATATATTAAACTGATATAATACTCATCGATAAAATGTATTGTATCGATAAATGCGTCGTCGTTGATATGCATTATCTTGCGTAATAGCTCGACGAATCGAATAGGCGAAGTAAAGCAATAATGGCCTGGTTTACACTTGATACGCGTACTAAATAACTTTCTATTAAATAATCTTAATATCGACGATGTATTTAAACAACGATATATTAAACTAATATAATACTCATCAATAAAACGTATTGTATCGATAAATGCGTCGTCATTGATATGCATTGTCAATATTAAGATTATTTAATAGAAAGTTACTATTTATTAGGTGTACAACTTTGCTTCCGCCGTTTTTTTTTCCGAAATTCGAGGCTTTATTGTAAAAAACTGGTTATACATTTATGATTCAAAGTATTGTCCATCGCTGGCCATTACTTTCTCCCATCTTTCGGGCAACGTACGAATCCCGCATCGAAAAAACTGGTCATCTTTTGAGGCGATCCACGAATCGATCCAATTTTTTACTTCTTCATAAGACCGGAAGTTTTGGTCAGCCAGGCCGTGTGTCATTGATCGAAACAAGTGATAGAGGGAGCAACGTCTGGAGAATACGACGGGTGGGGTAGGATTTCCCATTTCAACGTTTCCAAGTATGTCTTGACCACTTTCGCAACATGGGGTCGAGCATTGTCATGCTGCAAAATCACTTTATCGTGTCTCTCGTTGTATTGTGGCCGTTTGTCTTTTAATGCTCGGCTCAAACGCATCAATTGCGTTCGATACCGATCGCCTATGATTGTTTCAGTCGGTTTTAACAGCTCATAATACACTACGCCGAGCTGGTCCCACCAAATACAGAGAATGACCTTGGAGCCGTGAATATTCAGTTTGGCCGTCGACGTGGAAGCATGGCCGGGAACTCCCCATGATTTTCTGCGCTTGGGGTTATCGTAATGAACCCATTTTTCGTCCCCCGTCACAATGCGATGCAGAAATCCCTTTCGTCTTTGCCTTTCAAGCAGCTGTTCACAACCAAACAACATCTCTCGGCTTCATTTCGTACGGCACCCAATTTCCTTGCTTCTGAATCATTCCCATGGCTTTGAGGCGTTTTGAAATGGCTTGTTGAGTCACTCCCAATGATCGTGCCAATTCTTCTTGATTTTGACACGAGTCTTGATCAAGTAATGCCTCCAATTCTGCATCTTCGAAAACCTTCTCTCTTCCACCGCTATGCCGGTCTTCGACGTCAAAATCATCGTCCTTGAAGCGTTGAAACCACTCACGACACGTTCTTTCACTAATAGCGGCCTCACCATAAGTATTTGAGAGCATTCGATGAACCTCAGCAGCATATTTCTTCACATTGAAGCAGAAAAATAAAACCTCCCGCAAATGACGAGAATTTAGCTCATAAACTGACATTTTCAATCGAGAATAACTTTATGATGCAGACACAAATCGACTAATGTTTCTATGGGGTTATGTTGACAGATGCCCAAGTTTATTGTATGACGTCTATGATCTATTTATTTCGACCACCACTTACCGCTAAAGCCATCTATAGGAAAACGGCGGAAGCAAAGTTGTACACCTAATCAAGTACGACCAGGCCATTATTACTTTACTTCGCCTATTCGATTCAAGTGCACGATGTAAACCAAACCAAAGAGTAGGGTGCAGATACTTGCACCATACTCGCCATATACATTTTCCAATTTAATTCATGATCTCATATAAGTGATAATGTATATTTATGCTTGATACTTGTGCCAAATTATATTTATTTAGGATTCAAATTTAAGATACAAAGGATTCAAAGGATTATTTAGGTCATTAAAAAGCATTGTTAAAATAATAAATTGTTATATTACTTTCAATTAATTATTTACAAATTAACCAAGTGAACGTCACTAATAGTAAATACATTTGATTACATTAATTTTGCATTTGTAAATACATGTTGGAAGCATAATGCATTCTTGAAAAGAATTGTTTATGATATTGTGAATATGAATCGTAAGAGTTGACAAAACTCTTAATTGTAACAACATTTTTGCTGTTAGAGAAGATCTTCTTTTCCAAGGTATTGCAGTTTCAGTCCGCATACGGGTGTGACTACATTTGTTCGCTTCGAAGCAACCTACAGTGACAATGGTCGCGGCCAACTATTACGGCTGCCAGCGAAATTCAATCTGCGACAAAATCGTTAAGTGCCAACTCTTACGAGCGTTCGAGGAATAAAAGGTATCACGGGATTCCATAAAGAACCGGCCGCGTTTATACCCGTTTGAGCATCGGGTACTTGTGATGAACAAAAAGAAAGAGGAAATGAACGTCAATAGACACATAAATAACTAGACAAAAGTGAGCGTAAAAGGAGAGAAAGGAGAAGGGCGTTTTATTTGAAGAAAGTCTGATTAAAAATTAATTCTCTACATTTTGTACATTTTGTGCGGTGTATGTGCATGCGTATTGAATCAATTTAATTCTTATTTACTAAATTGGTGTTCATCAATAAATTTTGAAACATGTATGCTCTAATCAAAAATAAATCCTTAAATCCAGAGAGACGTGATATGCTTTGGTAACTTTACTGCTGGCTGCAGAATTTGCACTACATAACATCTCAGTTGTGTGCACGTGTGCATTGCATCGCAATATAAATGCGTATAACAAAGGTAATCGCGCGCAGTTTTTACAGATGGTATCCAACTCCAACCTGGAATAATTTTATTTTAGTATCTTATGCTTGATTAAAAAATAAATGCTTGCTTATAATAAATTTAACAATATATCATAACAAGAATAAATATTCCAAAATTATCCAGGAAACATAAGAAATCTTAATGAATAGAAAAGTAAACTGTGCAATAAATAAATGTTTATAATTTCGAATATGTATATAATGATGAAAAAGTCTTGTTATCATTCGCTTCAATGAAATTTTTTTATCACATACGTATCATTTATTATGTCGCCGTCACTTAATTTTAACTTGCATTTTATATATTACCTAATTTGAAGTCGCGTTAAAAGTCGATTTAAATATGGTGTAGATAAATAAATTTCTGTAATTAACTTTAATTAAGTGCCAATCAAATTTAATAACCAGTAGATATCTCTTAAATTTGACAAAATTATATTTAACGTAATGTCATTTAATTTACGTGCGCTTCAAATATGTAGTATATGCATAAGTATGAATTGAAATTATTCATGCAGACACACATTCTGTTTCACGGAAGGGTCATAATTAATTAAATAAATTCTCTCCAACTAGTTTCTCGAAACATTCTACGGAAGTTTATAAATTTTGCACGAGAATGTGTCACTCGATGTTCCCGCGAGCGTAATTTCTTTTGATCAATGTGTCGTTAAGTCGCGTCGTCGGCTCCTATTTCATCTTTAATCCGTCGCGATTAATCATATTTACAAAGGACTGTGAAAATAATTGCCGTCGCTGCGAAACAAGTAACGGTTCGCGCTGGGTGCTTCTTTCCCTCTCGCTAGCCGAGATAGAAACTCTCCTCTCCAGGTGTAATTAATGTAAATAAGAAACTTAGGCAACTGTACGGACGAGACGCTTCATTCCTCTCCTCGTATTTCCACCTTCGTCCTTTCTATATCACGTTCTTGCAGAGTGCCAACCGGCACCTGCGTCACTCGGCATGCAGAAATAGCAACTGCCGCGTTTCGTGGTAAAATTTTGACGGATTTACGGGCGGTATTGTGCCCGAACGAAAAGTACTCGGGACGTTTTATTTGCGTTCTAGTGCGAGAAGCGGCAAACTTTCTTTCCCGGCTAGACACGCATCTCAACGCGCTCGCCATTAAAGAAGTGTAATGTGGCGGTGCTTTCGGAAGAACACGCAGACAAAACCGTGCAACGCTATTTACATACCTGCTTTTTGCCACAAGTATTCTACTCACATGCGAGGTATTTAATAAACTACGATATACCTTTTAGGAGAATTTTTCCGTTTTTCTTCTTTTTCTTTTTGTTTTTCGTATATTGTGTACGTAATACTTCAGATTACCGTAGGTGACAGAAATATCTGTCAATAATATTCTGCGATAAAATATTTGCTAAGCTCGCTGTTTTATTTTCTTCTTTTTTTATATTGTAAATTTCCATTATATCTGTATTCAGATTGAACGACATAACAATGATCGACGGATGGATAGAAATGGAAAAAAAGTTTGAAGAGCTTTTGTACTGGACAGCTGATTTATATATCAATGCAATAGTGAGCGCAGAATTTATGTGAGATGAAGCTCATTCTAATGTAATAGTGCGATAAATTGGCCTCGCGCTACCCTTTCGACCAAATGACCGGAATTTACGTACATGAGCGGACTAACAGAATTGTCAGGCACCAACGCGTATGATTAACAAAATTGATTTACTAATTAATACCTCTCGAATACATGTTCCATATTCATAAGCTTCTGCCAACAAACTTTCAACGTTCGACGCCATTTACTGGAGCAAATGGACGTGCTTGTAGATAGTAATTAGAAATTTACTATACAGAATATATATCAAAAGTTCTACTTACAATTTCGCAATGTGACAATAATGAATACGAACTTTATATAATATACTAATATTCATCAACTCTTCAATATATGTTAAAATAAAAAAAGAAATTGTGTTCTTTAATGTATTTTAAAATCTTTAAAATTGTTTTATTATTAAGATTATTCCAATTTTATTATTTTCTCTGCAAGTAAAAAAAAAATATTTTGCTTCAATTAGTTAAGATTTAACATAAATAAACTTTTATTTATTATTTTTCTTTTTTTACTTTATAAGTGGTAATATAGACTACGACTCAATGTATATAGACAATATGAGGAAGTATAGAGAAGAGATAAGAGAGAAGGTAAGAAAGAAGGGCGCTCGTAACCTGCAGGCATGAGTCTTATAAAAGCGGCCAAAGTAATATTACGTGTCGTTATTAAGGAAGCTTTCGAGCGACATGAGTACCGGCGCCGTGAAACTCGCAATCACGCCTTGAGAACTTACTTTTGCAAATGCGGGAACGTGTGGTTGTGGTAATTTCGGCAGAGTTAAGCCCGCTTTCGCGATTCCAAGCTCCATCGGCCTCGCGGCAGGATTACTTGTATGTAACGTGTAATTTATCCCACCGAAACCGCCTAGCTGCAGCTGCAAACCTGTAAAGTACGTTAATTGCGTTACGCTATTCGCTGCGCGGGGAAAGAGTTGTTAAACAAACGAAACCTTAAGCGTAATCAGCACATAGGCTGCCAGAAAGGTTTGCATTAAAGAGCGCGTACAGAGATAATTTTAAAAGCATATATTGATGCTGTTTGAGGTGATTCTAATCAGGAATTGTATCTATGTAAAATTACACAATTATTTCACAAACACGTTAAAACAGAATGTAATCTCTTGTGTAAATTTTACATAGTAAATTAAAAGAAATATATATAAGCACAGTTTTTAATTGAATGAAAAATAAGCTAGAAAATAGTAAATGTTCAGAAATTTTGGTTGTACAGTACTATTCAATATTTGTCCTATAGCCAATATTTGTAATATTGCCTGAATTTTACACAATTTAATCGACGCTTGTTTTGACAGTAACTAACCAGTGAAATTAGTCAATTTCTAGATACAATTATTATTAAGTTCTAATTCATTCTTATTTTTATATTTAATTCTTATTTTTAATTCTTATTATTCTTATGTTTAATTCTTATATTTCTATTGCTAACATTATATACACTGAACCTATTGTTAATATTAAACTAAATACCGTTACCCGCTATAAATTTTAAATTAGCCTAATGTTTTGCTTGGGAATGTTACAAGTTTTTACTGGATTTATTTATTCAATCTAGCTATAAATTACTAATCTATTTGACCTTACTAGCATCTGACTTTGATTTAGAAAATACCTTTTTAAGATTTATTAAAAATCTATTAAAATTTTGAATTATTTATATATTAGCCAATAATTAATCGGTTTTATCTCAATATGGTTTTCTTAATCATTTGTTTAATAATTACTGTCTATATAATACCTAAATGATAAGAATCGCATAGTTTTTTATATGAGACCAAATTTTCCCGGAAATTTTTCTACTCGGATAATATCCTTTGCGCATTGTCGAAAAGTTGATAATAAATTTTATGAAATTTCATAATTTTGCACACAAAATTTAATTTCATAATCTAAATCAATGATAGTTTCTTTTCTATTATATATCATATAAATATTATAAATACTAAAGTAGTTTCTTCAATTTACATGAAGCAACCTTCGCCGTTCAGATTTGAAAGAAGGATCTCAAAGATAAATACTTGCTAAATTGAAACACGTGAAATTATTTCGTTAGTCAACTAAATCCCGATACAATTTCGATGAAATTTTATTGTTGGTCTTCAACGAAATTCATGTTGCGCGACATATAGCTATGTTATGGCTTCACGCCAGGACTAAAGATGTAAAACTTGCTTGGCGCACAGCTGAGAGTGTAGCTAAGATACCTGTGGGGTACCAAGGATTTCTTGCCTCTTGAGTTTGTCGTAATTGTTCCATACGATGTAAACTTTGACCCAGGTTCAAAGTTGGTATGCTCGCAGGCATGTCCGTCGTCATGCCACCAGGTATGCTCGTTGACATGCTACCAGTTATGCTTCCAGATATACTATCGGGTATACTTGCAGTGAGACTGTTTGGTATGTTCGCCATGAAGTCCATAGGTAAATTCATTTCTGCAGCAAGTAATCAAATAGTGAACAAGAGATTTTACTGACACAACGGAACATTGATGTCATCGAAACATTTCTCTGACAGAGCAATATTGAACCCCTGAACATTAACATTACGTAAATGTCGATAAACCGTGTGTTAAGATCTTATTCTCTATATTCAAATATGAGCAATGTCAGAGTTAGATATTAGTTTCTTTTATCGCGCAAATAAAAGTTGCCTGCATTTGTGACATCTTGATCTGATAATTCTTATAGAAAGACAACCTAGCGTAAAGCAACTGAATTACTAAAATACATAAATTTGTAAAATATTATTGAAACGTAACACTTGCACAGTAATATACAAAGACATATGTCACTCTGTCCAACGTAACTTTTCAGAGTGATGTGATATGAGAAGAGAAAGATATTTAGCTCACTCGAATTCTTCATATTCATCGTCAGGTAAGCTACAGCGATATATCATACCTAGCGGCATATTGTTACTCGTCGACCAGTCGGATGTTATTGTAAATTTTGCGGGTAATATTTCGGGAATATTGTGTTTTGTCAGCAATGGCCAAGAAATAGCAGAGGCAGATGCGACTGATGTACTTGGCAAAATGAGTTTCATCTTTCCACTCGGAGACAACGGAGCATAACTGGACAATGTTTCCGGATGCGAGAATTGCTGCAGAGACCAGCCATGTTTAAGTACTTCGGGCAACGCGTTGTTTGCGAAGGAGTTTTGAATGCCGCTCTTCAGCATGCCCTTCTGCTCTCCAGAGAGCATATAGTCTAACATGGGACTTTGGTTATCGGTCTTCATGTTGTTCTTTGACACTTCCGGCATTAAGTATTTCAAGTTGTGCTCATCGATCTTCAAGCTACTCTTTGGTGTTTCTGGATGCGGGTAAGTATGGATCTGGCTCTTCAATTGATTTTGGGAAATGAAAGGAGACGCCACAACAGCTCCATATTTAGTAGCATGAAAGTGAATCGGCTCAAGAGTGCTAAACAGAAGAAATTATAATTTAAATGTACAAATTTAAATGTGCTAGAGTACTATTTGGTAAATTAATTTGATAATAAATCATTTTTCCTTATCTTTTCCAAAATTATTAATGCGTTTGTTCAATATCGCATTACAAATTATATCATTGTAGTAATGACAATTTCTAGACAGGGGCATATAAAGAAAACTAACAAAAAGAAGTAATATATTACTCTCTCAGATGAATACGCAATTATATTGTTTATAAGGACATTTAAAAAGAGGATTTACCGCTAGTGTGGAATAAGACATCGGAAGATGTCCACTAATAAGATGTATTTAAAAGTAATTATTGTTTTATAAACATTTTAATTTCAAAATTCATAATATAATTAAAAATTATGAATACTAGAAAGCCAATTATACAACAAATTAATAAGTTTGAAATAACGGTTTTAGAACAATATTAATTATATTAATCTTAGAAACAAAGGACTGCGATATGATGCTATTTGAATGACGATCTTTGTTAATCAAATAGTTTGACATATTTATATCTATTTACATCAATAATATCGTAACCAATTGACAAATAATAAAGCTCGGTCACAGTTATTACGTACTTTTTGACGGATGGCATTATTGGTGTCATTGTAGCCATGACAGGTGAATTAGGCTTGGTTGCAAAATTCGTTAAGATATGACCTACAATTGAGGATTGGTTTGTGCTATGTGAGATTGATGGCACAGTTGTAACAGCGTTGCTGGACATGGTTGACGAGCTGTCAACTAGCTAAAAGTAACGGTAAATATACAGATCGTTAGGAACTTACGTTAGAAAAAAATATTTACTCTAGAACACAACTGGAAAATTCGTGTGACCGAAATTTGATATAATAAATTACGAATGCAAAATGTTATTATTAAGTCTAATGAATTTAGCAATAAATAATGCACAAAAGTTAATTATACGCAAGACCCACTAAAAAGTAATAACATATATATAACGCAAAAAAGTTATGTATAATTAGTATTGTCCCATTAATATACATAAACGTAAATTTATTGTGAAATTATGCCACGGTAGAATTATATATCATAAAACCAAAGTGTTTATGAGTGAATTTCCGAATGGTAATATAATAAATAAATACACGTAATGTAAACTTGATAAGACTGATAGAGGTTTGTAGCGGTATTCATTTGCGATTATAATTACGCGCTGTGAAACAAATATCTGAAAATTTTCAAATATATTTCGCCCTTGGCCGAATATCAAATTCAGCGAGTGAAATTAAATTCTAGCCCGTATTTTACCATATTTAAAATGCCAAAGATATCAAGGATTAAGAATTCTCTCACCGTATTGCATTTGCCGCTTAACGTTGAAATAGCGGACTGTGAAGTCGATGCTGAGCCAAGTTTCATCTTGAAAGCGTCTGATAAATGCATTTCGCTTATACCGGAAGAAACAGGAGATGTAGGAGAGGTAGATCCGTGATTGGCGACGGGCGTAGGCAGCGGCATTGCAGGCATTTCGGCGTTTAATGCGGCAAGATGCTTGGAGGACGAAACCACCGGCATGGAGGGCAATTCGTGCGGATGATTATCTGCGACGCAAGATATCATCAGTGAATTGCCGTGAATTGACGTGATCAGTCAATTTGAATTGCCGCCAATTAAGAATTTCTTGGTATATAAACAAAGCAACTTTAGTATATTGCCATTTTAACGAAATGTTTATATTTTAATAGAAAATTCAATATTAAATTGCAAAATTTTGAATTAAAATAATTAAGGCAGAGTACTAAAATTTAAAAAAGAGAATATCGTACTGTTTATTCATCTCGTTACTCATGTATTATTTAAAATTGTATTTTTTCCAATCTTGTTTTTGCAAAAGAGAGAGTTGTGTGCAACATTTACAAACTTTACAAAAATTTAACACTAAAAATTACTAAGAAATTTGCAGTAATTGATTTGCAGTAAATGATAGCATTTCAATAATTTGGCCAGTACTTAGTTATTGGTTAATGAATTATTATGATTATGAAATATATACGTTTACAACAGCTTATGCTGAAATAAATGAGATAAAGTAAACCAACGTTAGATCATATCGTTTAAATAATAAAAAAATCACTAATTAGTTTATTGTGCAATTGCATCTTTTCACTTTGTATGTGTGTGGTTCTGATCTTTTATAGCAATCATTCATTCTTCTTTTAAATCGCACTATTCGATGCTTGACATCAATGATTTAACAGAAACTAATGACGCCAATAAATTCTGGTAATATCTTTGTATGAGCTATGCTTATATATTCTTATGTCGTTAAAAATATTATAAAACATCATAAATATACTTAATAGCAAATGTTATAAACAATGCAGCAACAATCGAAAGAGAGAGACGACAGATATTTATGTAATATATTAGCGTACGAATGATGCCATGGTTATTGAATTTTTCCTGAATATTATAATAAATATAATAAGTTAGTTAAAAAACTATAACGTGTAAAATAATTCATAATAATCATGAGAAAATTAGAGCTTATCTTTTTCGTAATCAAAAGTTTTAAATTATTTTCGTGAGAAATGCAGATATTATTTTTAGAAAATATACATATAGCATCCAAAAAAATAAATAGGACACGGTTGACGAGTTCATAGTATATTCTGAGGATGATACGAAAAATAATATACTACGAGAAATATTCTGGAGTGACAAATTTCAGTACTAGATTCTTATTATTGTCAATATTACTTATTACTGATCACTGATATAAAATTATCTTGAAATACTAAATTAAAAGTTATATTATTATATTACTTTGAAATTCTAATAACTCAATAATTTGTTCAAAATCGTTAGCCACTATTAATAAAACTACTGAGCAGTAGTAATCTATTACTAACCAGTCAATAATACTTTTCTGGAAGGATATTTAATCATTGCAACTTTAAATATTGAAATACTTGGGAGAAAATACACTACGAGCTGTATATTTAAATCACTAAAAATTATTAACAGCATTGCTTTTAATACTCCAAAAAAATAAAATTAATCATTAATTCAGTAATATTAAAATTCTATAAAGAGAACCTACCATATTCCATGTACATTGTAGGCTCCCCGTAGAACACAGCTTGTGCGTCTTTCTGTCGCCCGTACGAATCGATCGGTTTACTGTAAGGATCATCTCGATAAAACTTGATTGATTTGGAAATGGCCGGAAAATCGACGTAAGTCGTTTGCTTCTGGTACGGTGCTTGTTCACTTAGAGGTGACTGTCCGTGAAATAAGTTTTTAAACGGCGTTTCAGGCGTTAACAATTGTTTTCTAAACGGTGTTTGACTTCTATACGTTGACGCTTGTTCCTCGAAGATCTCCTCCGAAGCAAGCGACGCGCTTTGTCCTTCGAAGGGGCTGTTTCTGAAGACTGCTCGTTCTCCGTGCAACTCATGATCCTTCAGAAGCGCGTTTCTGAACAATGGTTCGTCTTTGAACGCTCTTACCATGTGAAATAAATTCTGCTTGAGCGGTTGTTGGCGAAAAATTGAATAGCCAGACGGGTAGGTGCTTCGTTCTTTCAAGGATGCCTCGTGAAATGCTTGTTGGTTGATAGGTTGGTCTCTCACTGGTACATCGGACAATATTTGCTGACCAATTATCTTGTCGATAAATGATTGACCGTGAAAGAAATTTCGTGGACGAGTTTTGTGATATGATATGACGTCCGTATTAAAGGAAACGACGTCTCTCTTACTTCTGTACGCTCCGGCGATTACCACTGTCATTGCGATGATGATAACCTGAAGCAAAAACACACTGACCTTTAGAAATATCCTGATTGCTTGGAGGATTTCTATAGGAGACTCACCGAGTGTCGTGTCTGGCACATCATAGATGATTGTCCTATTTGCAAACGAATATATATTTCCTAAATTAAAGGATAACAGTACAATTGTTATTCTCACTAATATAAACGACGATAATAACTCGATGCAGCTGCCACAGAAAGTGTGAGTGATTCGGAACGACAGTCTTATATAGGATCGATGATCTTACTTCCAGTTCTACATCTTTCCATTACTGTGATTTGAGACTAAACTGGTAAAACATGTACTCGTCACCTTTCTCCTCTTCAGATTCAGAGTGCAAATATATTATTACTTTCCTACAACAATGCTACCATATATTAAAGGATCTTTAATTAAATGTTCGACAAATAATAGAAAAATTCTTTAAGTTTAATTTACATATTTAACAATATTATTTCGTCCTTATGCCTAAACTCTGATTTTTTAAATATTATGATAAAGACACGTAGGTAAAATTATTTATTTATTTATTTATTAAAGTCAATACATCTTAAACATAATAATTTTTATTAACGAAAGAAAATCTTCTAAATATAAAGTAAAAATATCGATAAAACTTTGATTATCGACAGTAATTTAGATTCTATATAAAATATAGAAGATGGAGAACATAAAATAAAAAAAAAATAAATATGATTAGTAAATATAAAAATTAAATAAAAAGTTAAATAAAATAAAATAGAAAACCTAAGTATATAAAGCATTCATATATAAAATCGTATTTATTAATAAACATTTAAATTTAATTAAAGTAATATTAAAATATTGATAAATATTGATAAAAGTATTATTAAAATATTGATAAATATTGATAAAAGCTGAGAATATGTCCGCCACTATATATAATCTATCAATGTCAAAATTTAGACCATATATACACACAGAGAAATTTCATTCTATTACTAGAAAAGCGATCGCAGTTCATTTACTTTTTTAAATAATGGTTATCTTCAACAAAAAATATTTTCTTGATAATAATTTTAAAATACATTTATTACAAATTTTAGAAAAGTTCATTACCATACACTTAAAAGAAGAGTTTATTCTTTTTACAAGAATATAATAAAACTTTATCAAAGAAAAAGGTGATTTAACTCTATATAGTAAACAAACCAAATTTTTGCTTTAACTTAACATATTCGGCTGGAACGCTAAACTTACTAAGATTTAAAATGTCTTGTGTAAATTTATTACTTATGACGAACTTATGAAATACTTGAAATAATATTATTGAAACAAACAATATTAATTTCAACGCGGTATGTCTTTTTTGTATATAGTGTTCAATGCAACATAAAAAAAAGAACCTTCTTAAAGGTTTGGACAGAACATTAAATTGTATTGGCTCTAATATATTCGGTATATTTTATGTTAACGTTACATATTATAATAATACTAGATAATACGAGAAATTAGTATGTCTTAATTGACACAATCTAACTATACTTCTTTCTTGATTGAGAGTATCTAAAATGTATATTTGATAATATAAAATTTCAAAATGACTTTACGAGGATAACTCTCCGTTGTGCGCGTTCGCAAGAGAAGCGGAAGCACAGCAAAAGAGAAACTGCGCTCGCTACGTCTCGCTGCGTCTTAAATGCAGATGCAAAAAGGAACGAAGCCCACTCCAGCGTCCTTCGAGGAAAATTGCTCGCAATGGAGGAAGCCAATTGCAAAGGTTGCCCTTTACGCACAGATGAATGAATTACGGCACGAAGAATATAATTTCAAAAGAACTCGTTTTCCGCTAGCTCTTTTGGCTTTCACCCGGGAGACAAATCGGCAGGGACAAAAGGGATGGGGTGTATAGGAGTTCACGGGGCTCTGAAATTACGAAATGGGGAACAAACGCGAGAAAAAAGTCAAGTATGTCTTTTCCGAACGACGAAAAACTTATCTGCATCTCAATGCTCGTGCAAAGTTTACTTCGTGCCTTGTGGATGCGGATTGGTGCTTTACTCGCAGTAAGTCGACGAAGCGATAATTGCCATGCCAGAGAAACGAGATAATCGTTCAAGCGCCTTCTACTCGTTTCCTTCTTCCTCTGTGCTACTTTTCGAAAAGATATATTTGCTATTTATATATTCAGTACTTATCTTATATATAGTTAAAGTTGGGAAGTTTTAGATTTTGTTTTTCTTCTTAAAACTTGTCGGTGAGGAGATCGCGTAAGCATATGCACGTATAAACATATAGCATAAAATTAAACATCAATTTATATTCATGATATTCATGATACGTTTATTTACTATTTTTGATTAGAAGAAATTGGGTCCATAGTTGAACCAAGGTTCATATTGGCGGTAGATTTTATGTATTTATTTTATATTACTAATAATGAAAGAAACAATGGACACGAAATCTCAAAATGTTTTTTTCATTCAGATGTTTTTGTAAGTCTCATTAAAATCGAAATAATATTACAGTTTAATAGTAGAGAAAACTGATTTAGGAATTTCAATAAGACAAAAATTTATTAAAAAGGAAAACATTTATTTAAATTTTAGTAAACTGTTTGTGTGTCTTCTTTTATATATAAGTGCAAACACATTTCTTCTTTTAATAAACAGATAATTCACTTATTTAAATGAAATAGTTCTTATTATCAAATAAATCATTTATTAAATATAAAATAATATTTCGTCTAAATTAAAACATATTTACTACCAGATAACATATCTTTTTTTATTTCAACTCTTTTTAATTGGAATTCTATTTATTACCTTTTTTTTATTGCGTCGTTATTAAGGAAATGCCAAACTTTGTCGACAAAATACTGTGGGATGTTCTTTTAGGATAGTAAGATGATGTTTATTAAAAGAGAAATCATTGCTTCCACATAAATTAATTTATTCGATACAAGTGATATTAGCCGGGAATCGACTTCGCTTTATTTGAACTTGATACCTCTCGACGCTTTCACTTGCTCTCTTTTTCTATACGTGACGACTATATGTCTTCGTCCCAACTTTAACTCCAATTCTCTTGTATTTGCTTTTACAAAACTTTATATTGCATCTATTGCTTTGTCTTTAATCATGTGATATCCGTATGATATCAATATAATTACACTGATAAATATAAGAGATTAATACAAAAACAAAATGATATAAATAAGATTATACATGTTGTTATAAGCGTTATGTTTATGATTGCTAATTTAAAAATTTTTAAATTACAATATTAACTTTCCTCTGCAAAGTTTACGTCGTATTGGTTGCACAGAATTACAAATGTTTTTACGAAAATACGTGTAACAATGAATTGGAATATTGTTCAATATATGCGACGAAAATAATTCAAAATTAAAAAATTAACATCTCGAGCTCTCTGTCGGTTGGAGTAAATATTTACTTGATATAAAAGTTTTATAGCTTATACCACGTATGTGTTTGTATTGCTAACAAAAATTTCGATGATCATTTCTATATTTTCATAACTGAATGCAGAAACTTAAAAGTATACGAAAATTTTGCAGAAGCATTTCATTTATATGCGTCGTTATATTTTCTGCTAAAATGGATTAAACAAAACAGCGTACATTTATATAGGATCTATTTAAACAAGAAATACCAGGAGGGTAGTGTGATCGTGTTAGTGAGGATTGTCTCTACGTTGTCGACACCTTTTAACGTTCATTATCCAGTTCGGCATCTCCTTCAAGGTATTGTCAATAATTTTGCCTGATATCTGAATTAAATGCATTTCATTAATAACTTATATCTTATTTGAGAAATTCCCTTTCCGCTTTAGCAAAGATCAAAATCAGATTTTGGTTTAGTAATGTTTTACATTATATCATTTCACTTTGATTTATAAATGTATCTCATATTATCTATATATATTTCCAAAATACCGTTTACAATTTGTAATAGAGCGTAAATTAATAAAATAACTTAAATGTTATTAATAATATTCAAAAAAGTAATAAAATGTCTTTTTAAGTATTTTTATTCAAGTATGTTTTTGGAGAAATAATCAAATTATACTCTGAAAAGTATTTACTTTCTTTAAATATACTATTTCTCATTTTTGATAGGTTTTAAAAATAAAATTTTAAACAAAATTTTAAAATTAAAAATATCTTTTAAATGCAATCTTCTCTCTTTCTCTCTCTCTCTCTCTCTCTCTCTCTCTCTCTCTCTCTTTCTCTCTCTAAAGATTTTATATTTTTATAAATTTATTTCCTAAATTTCAATAAATATTAATTATAATGAAGTAAACTGAAATTCGATTAAAGTATATATATATATATATATATATATATTTTTTTTTTTTTTTTTT